GGGATGTCACCTGGGACAGAAGGAAGAGACAGGGGGTGGTCGGGGGAGGTGATGGGGATGTCACCTGGGACAGAAGGAAGAGACAGGGGGCTCACCTGTGTGAGAAACAGCCGCCAGACTGAGCAGCATTTGAGTTCCAGTTTGGATCGTCCTGGCCTCGGAGAAGTTACTTAGCATATCAAAGCCCTCTTGCAAACCGGGCTTGGTGGCTCAGCCTGTAATCTCGCGCCTTGGGAGGCTGAGGTGAGTGGATTGCCTGGGCCCGCGCGTTCGAGACCCGCCTGGGCAACTTGGCGAGACCTCATCTCTACAATAAATCAAAAATCAGCCGGACGTGGTAGCGCGCACCTGTAATTCCGGTTACTCGGAAGGCTGAGGCGGAAGGATCGCCGGAGCGCAGCAGGTCGAGGCTGCGATGGCCGGGAGCCGCCACTGCACCCCAGTCTGGACGACAGAGTGAGTCTCCAACTCAAAAATAAAAAGCCCTCTTGCAAAAAGAGAATGGTATTATCTACTGTACATACCTAAGGTAAAGTGTGGGATTTGTTCTAGGTGCTCAGACTTCTGTGCCCTCTATATCTTGTTCCCACTACCGGGCATGTCCACTTTTTTTTTCTTTTTTGAATCGGAGTCTGTCACCCAGGCTGGAGTGCAGTGGCATGCTCAGGTGATCCTTCTGTCTCAGCCTTCCAAGTACTTGGAAGTACAGGCACACGCCACCACACCCAGCTAGTATTTTGATTTATTGTAGAGATGTTCCCCAGGCTGGTCTCGAACCCCTGGGTTCAGGCAATCATCTTGCCTCTGCCTCCCAAAGTGCTGAGATTACAGGTGTGAGCCACTGCGCTCAGCGATCGTCCACTTTTTGTGGTAATCTCCAAGTTACATCTTTTCAAAATTCCCCACATTCAGCCACTCCCATACTGTTTTGTTCCTCAAACGTTTGCCCACTTTTCTCAGTTTGGTTAGTAATTGTTTATCTTATGACTTCATTAGACTTGCAGTTCCTAGATGCCCTGGGGGCCAGGTTTAAGCCATCTTTATCACACCAGTGTTCTGCTAATTCTTTGAACCACTGGATGAAGCAAGAGGGGTATCTTCAGGGGGTGGAAGGAAAAGTGGAGCAGATAATGGGGCTCCTGATCTCCTCAAGAGGAGCCTTCAAAGACTCTCCAGAAAGTTTCCAAAGATTGCTCCCAAATGCCCCTGCCTGTTGACTGGGGTGAGATTTCATCGTTTTCTTGAGCTCACACCTATGGTCTCAAAGTGTAGTCCCTGAAGTAGCAGTAGCAGCATCCAGGAATTTATTAGAAACTGAATTCTCTAGCCTCATCCTTAACTTCCTGAACCAGAAATTCTGGAAATGGGGCATGGACAACCTGTGTTTCCACAAAGTCTCTGATGCGGTCTAAAGTTTTAGAACCACTGGCTGAAACCTTTTATCTTTCAAATATGCTCTAGAGATAGACAACTTTTAAGTTATTTTAAAAAAAAATAAGTAATAGTTTTCTGTCCATCTTAATTTTCTGAACACCTATACAGAAAAATTATAAAGATGTGCCAGGTGCAGTGGCTCATGCCTGTAATCCCAGCACTTTGGGAGGCCGAGGCAAGAGGATTGCCTGAGCCCAGGGGTTTGAGACCAGCCTGAGCAGCATGGCAAGACCTCGTCTTTACAATAAATAAAAAAATTAGCCAAGCGTGGTGGCACATGCCTGTGGTTCCAGCAACTTGGAAGGCTGTGGTGGAAGGATCACCTAAGCCCAGTAGGTCAAGGCTGCAGTGGCCATGAGCGTGCCACTGCACTCCAGCCTGGGTGACAGAGTGAGACTCAGTTTAAAAAAAAAAATTTCTTTGTGAGCATGTCTCTGAGAACTATGTTCTGAACTTTTTTCTTTCCCTTGCCAGATTCCAAATGAAATGACTTGGGGAGACAGGGTTTTATTAACCCTTCATATATAATGTGGTTTACTTTCCAACCTGACTCTGGCATAACATCACATAACAGATAAAGAAGGAAAATAAAAGTATTTTATGACTTTGTCTCTTGGTCACTCCCAGACTGGGCACCTTTTTGTTTTTTTTTTTAAGATTAAAAAAACTAGCTAGGCTCGGTGGCTCAGCCTGTAATCCCGCTCTTTGGGAGGCCGAGGTGAGTGGATTGCCTGAGCCCACGGGTTCGAGACCCGCCTGGGCAACCTGGTGAGACCTCATCTCTACAATAAATCAAAAATTAGCCGGGCGTGGTAGCGCGCACCTGTTGTTCCAGTTACTTGAAAGGCTGAGGCAGAAGGATCGCCGGAGCCCAGCAGGTCGAGGCTGCAGTGGCCGGGGCCACTGCACTCCAGTCTGGACGACAGACTCCAACTAAAAAAAAAAAAAAAAAAGATTAAAAAAACTATAGTTTATAGATTCACCTCCCCGAAGTAGGGGAGGGGGTCAAAGCTAGGAAATATGGCAACTATAGCTCAAAAAGCTATGTGGACACACTAGAGTTTAGCAAAGCAGTGGCCTCTGGGCACCTTTTTATTTTATTTTATTTTTTAGTTGGGGTCTCACTCCATCGCCCAGGTTGGAATACCATGGCACACTCAGGGCCATCCCAGTGTCGATCTGCTGAGCTCCAGTGATCCTTCCACCTCAGCCTTCCAAGTAGCTTGAACTACAGGCACAGACTACCACACCCAGCTAATTTTTTTTTTTGAGTTGGAGTCTCACTCTGTCACCCAGACTGGAGTGCAGTGGCTGCTCCCGGCCAC